ATTACCTGACTCATGAATTTGGGAATGCCTCTTGGCTGTTGCCTCTTGGGATCTGTCATAATGTTACTCTTGAATATCATAGGGAACTGAGATCACTTGAAGACTTAACCAAGCTGGGAATCCAGGATAGTTTATTCACATGGCTGGTAGCTTGAAGTTCAACAGGGTGCTGTTGACAGAACCTCCTGCAAATGGTCTCTCCCACATGATAGTCTCTATACAATAGATATGCCATAAAGCAAACATCCTAAAGAGAAGGAGGCATGATTTTCTAAGCTAGGTTTCTATGTCAAGCCATTTTGGCTTCACCACACTCTATTGCTTATAGACAACTCACCATGGTCAGCCCAGATTCAAGGGAAGGAGAAATAGACTCCAGAGGTCAATAGATAGAACATCAAAAATTTTGTGAAAATGCTTTAAAGCTATATGTATATTGAATATATGAAATTGTGTATTCTCTAAGTTGTACTTTTAGCACTATTATAGTGGCCTTAAATATCTAAAACTTATAGGTTACATAGGAATGTTAGGTTCTCTCACCATGTCTCACAAGTCCTTGTTTGTAGTTTCTATCCTTATATTTTTGTGCTTTACTCTGTGTATTTTTCTCTGTTTTTATACTTTTCAATTTCTATTCTGTGATAATCTAATGTTTTTGACTCACCTTTGAGTTCTTATTTTTAGCTCTTGATTTTTTAACTTGCAAATTTTTACTATATTTTGATGATCATTTCTCTGCCAAGATACACATCATGCCATTTAATAGACCAATTAAACATGATTATTTAGATCACCTATAAGGAAACACCAATATTAATATCTAAAAATCTTTTTCATTTTTTTTTCATTGTTCTTGTTTGTTGTCTACTAAACGGCTATTTCATGTGGTGTTTTGGATCAATATGCTTTTTGAGAAACTATACAAAACCTTCAGAAAGAATTTTATTTTGCACCTTCCATGTATTGTATTTAAGGTAGATCACATTATACAAAAACAAGTGAAATTTTGAGAAACTGGGCACCATCCCTGTGACAAAAATCCTTTTTCTTTCACAAAATACGATACAAGTTTCCTGGTTGTTTAACATGATTTCTCCTTTTTGATCCAAGCTAAATTATATTTGTGTATGGCCAAGGCAATTTGGAAAATATGCTGAGATTTTTAGTTTTACCTTCTAACTTAGAATAGGCAAGTACCTCCAGGGAAAAAATAGCTAATCCCACATTTTACTTTTCTCTTCACTTGACTGCTAACGTCTAGTTATCATGGGAGCTGTGCAATGTCCTCAAGAAGCATTAACTTATTCTCACTTTTCTAAAGTCCCTCTGAGTGCTTGACATATAGCCCCCAAAGTGTCAGAGTCAGAAGCAGAAATCTCCATTAGGAGAACAGTTCTGAAGATAGGAAATTACTGATTTTGTCCTACAGCTTTCAGATGCCATCACGAGATTATTATGTACTTTAATTCAGTTTCATCCTCTCTACTCCCATCTGTAGGTAACCAGACTAAGTTGCTGCCCCAGTGCAATGACTCCTTGTCTAACACAGCAGGCTCTGCAGCCTCAGAGGGCCACACTGCCAACTGCTCAGGTGAGCAAGGACCCCAGCACCAGAGCTGTCCCATTCCCTGTGTAAATGCCCACTGACATGACCCTGTCTCTCCTCAGACAGCAGACAGCTCCGCCTGGTGGACGGGGGCAGTCACTGTGCAGGGAGAGTGGAGATCCTGCAGCAGGGCTCCTGGGGCTCCATCTGTGATGACAGCTGGGACCTGAGTGATGCCCACGTGGTGTGCAGAC